TTCCCGGTGAAAGCAAATTGGAGTTCTGAAATGAGCTCAGGCATCCATTTCTTTAGCCTTGTAGAGAGAACCTTGGAGATGATTTTATACTTGAAGTTGCACAGAGCTATCGGTCTGAATTGATGAACTTCCTATGGATGTTGGACTTTGGGAATGAGAGCTAAGTGTGTGTCATTCCACCCTTGCTTCAGTTTCCCTGTTTGGAAAAAATCCTTCACTTCACTCGCCACCTCTCCATCGATCAGCCCCCAATGCCTCTGAAAGAATCTTCCATTGAAACCATCCGGACCCGGGCTCTTTAAAGGGCCCAAGGAGAAGGCTGCAACTTTGATCTCTTCCTCCTTCACGTCGGCAGAAAGTGAAGTGTTCATCTCAGATGGGGCAGCAAAAGGAAACTCCTGCAAAATAGGAAAATCGGTTAGTCCTCTTTGTTCCGTGAACAAAGAGGAATAAAAGTCAGTAACATGATCCGTCAACTCATTGGGTACAGTGATCCAACGTTCTCCTTGTCCTTTCAATCTCCTAATTGAATTCCTCTGTCTCCGTTGGATCGTTGAGATATGAAAGAAGCGGGTATTCTTGTCTCCCCAATTCAGCCATTTGACTCGGGATCTTTGGGCCCAATGCATCTCCTCACCCCTCCATAACTCATTAAGAGCTGCTGATGCCAAAATAATTTCGTCCTCCACCTGAGCATTCCAAGCATAAGACTGCAGAGTATTGATTCTATCCAAAAGGTCATCAGTCTTCTTCTGTCTTTCTCTAAATTCCCTTTTACTCCAGCTAGATAGTCTTTTTTGGCAGTAGCCAAGCTTGTCATCTAATGTCCCTCCTTGATATTGCCATGCTTGATCCACAACTGCTCCATAGTTACCATGGTCCATCCACCTTTCCTCAACCCAGAATAAAGGTTTCCCTCGTTTAACAAATGGCTTGAGGAGACGAGTAATTGGCGTGTGGTCTGATTCCACCATAGTATCATGAACAACAGTTTCTTCTTTAAACATTTCACTACATTCCATATTAACGAGAACTCTATCTAGTCGAGCCCTGATGCATCTCTCGCGTTGTCGTAGGTTTGACCATGTGAACCTAGGTCCAGAAAAACCCATGTCCATCAGACCATTTCCAAAGATGAATGAATTGAAGTCTCGGAATTTTGCTGGAGCTGGAGCCCTTCCTCCTTCCTTTTCAGGTGAGCAAGAGATAGCATTGAAATCTCCTATTAAAATCCACTTCTCATTGTTAGTTGGCTTAAACTTCAAAATCTCTTCCCAAACACTCCTTCGATCCCTCTCCTCTAGTGCACCATACACACATGTTAAGAAGAAAGCACATTCCTCTTCCACAAAACAATGAAGAAAATTTTTCGATATTGACAGAACCTCAACCTTGACATCCTTACTCCACCAAATTGCTAGCCCACCAGACTTATCAATGGGTTCAACATACTATCCCCTGTGAAACTTCATTGCTTTCCTTTTTATTTCCATATCTTTTTTCTTTTTTTCGTCTCCATCAAGAAAATAATGGAAGGACATCTTCTGCGTATTAAACGCCTTAGATATCGAACTGTAGAGTCCTGTCCAGCTCCTCTACAGTTCCAGCTTAAGATACCTATTGAGGGGATGGTGGCCTTGGGCATGCCACCTTAGCCAAATCAAAGTTGTTGTTGACTTCAATATCATTATCAAAGGAAGTGAGGGTAGGGGAGAATAGTGACTCATTGGGGTCCAGTTTGGGGAGGCTATGGCCTATGAGGGCCAGCTCTAGCCAATCCCTTGATCTTCACAATTCTTCGAGAGTTCCCAAAAGTGGAATCCGAAAAATTACATGGGTTGAAAGAGGGATGAAAGAAGTTGGTGTTGTGAGGAGGAGATGAAGGAGATGGAGGAGACGAGGTAACAGAATCGGAAAAAGGGATTGGGTTTGAGTAGAGTATTGTTTAAGTTTTTTGGTTTTGGATTGGGTAAAGTAATTGGGGTCATCTTGGGGAAGGGCAAGTGCACGCTTCTGTGCTCGATGAATGTTTGTGAGTTGAATGGGAGGCTGAGGTGGAGAAGTTGAGTTTGGGCTCCAAACAAGACATTGTTGAATGATGCTTTCTTGTTCAGGAAGGGATAACTGGGAGAAAAGGTTGAAAGAGTGTGGGAGTTTTATGGTGTATAGGATGTGAAATAAATATTCAGTGGGCATGTTGTTTGTATCTGTTGGAGAAAGATCAGTGAAAGAGTGGGTGAGCTAGAGGATGGTTTTTTGGTCCAGGGGAAGAGGGTTTGGTGGGGGAGTGAGAGTAATTCAGGGCAGATCAAGGGTTTTAATGATGAAGTGGTAAGGTTGGAGTTTTGAGTAGAGGATTGTATATGGGATAGTGAGGTGGGTTGGGTGGCGAGAGAGGGTTTGTTTCCCGTATCCATGTGATTGTGCTCTTGGGGGTGGGTTGAGAGTGGCATAGTGTTTTCCGGCACATGAGTTAGGCTAACATTGTGATTGGGATTAGGATGGTTGGACCCACTTGGCATGTTGCGGTGATCGGATCGTTTCCGCAGAGTTTCTGGTTTCCAAGGGTTTGGGCAATATTTCGCCATCTCTGCTCGCAGCCAGTTGCCATATCTTCGTCTACTACTTCCTGATGGGTTTTTCGATGATTCTCTTTCCTTGCAGACATAGATTTTGTGCCCCAATCTGCCACAGTGGAAGCAAAAGTCATGTAGTTTTTCATATCGGAACTCAATACCATCGACCTCCTGGCCAGATTTGTAGAGGAAACCAGTTGGGAGTGGCTTCTCCAGATCATGCTCAACGAGCATACTAGTGTAGTCATCCCACTCCATTTCTTCTGACCTGACTTCACTAATTCTTCCAACCTTCTGTAACATTTTCCCAATGGATTGGAAGTTCTCACTGACCCTCATACTTGGTTTCATACCCCAGATCTGGAGCTTAAGCTTAGTGGAAGGGATCACCACATGCTCTGGTTTAACAAAATTTCGCATCTCTGAAAGAATTAGATAGCTATCCAAAATAGTTAGGTGATAGCTCCCTGATTTCTGACATCCCCCTTTAGCTTCCATGCTCTCTTAATCGTGCTTCTCATAGCTCCTAAATGACAGATCTTATCGCTAGCCAGTCATCCCACCAGGGAGATCTTTTGCATTGCTTCATCTATTTCCTGATTGTTGACCATCTCCAAAAAGGGCTCCTCATCGTCGTAGTTTAGTGAGCTGGTTTGCGTAATGAGCTGGGATATTTCTGTGTCGTTTTCCATGGGTAGGTGAAGAAAGTAAAAGTGTTGGGCTGGAGAGAGAAAGTGGATTTGGGCTTTCAAAGGTAAATAAGGAACGAAAAGTGGTGATTTGGCGAGAGAGAAGGGGAGGTAAGCGTTGGCAAGGGATGGGGAGGATAAGTGGAACAAAGATTTGTTGAAGGTGAAACAGAGCAAGGTGAAGATTAGTGAGGGAGAATAATCGAATGAAGGGGATGGTGGGGGGAAAGGATCTGGGACAACAAATTAATGTCCTTCCTTTTCTCTTTTTTCTTTTTCTTGGCTAAAAAATGATTTAGTGCTCTTTGGGATGGGGAGAATGGACGGAGGAGGGTGTAAATGTTTCGGGTCGGATGTTTGGTGTAATGAAAGCTTGCAGATTGATCAATGAATGGAGCTCGTTAGTTGGGAGAGAAACCTGGCGTTTGATGGAGCTCCACGGGAGGGAGAGAGGAAAGCTCTACTAAGAGAGAGAAAATTCTCTACTAAGAGAGAGGGATTACCACTATGGTATGTGATTGGTAACTTGTGCTAACTTGCAATAGGCAATGATGAAAGTCGTAAATGACAGTTAATATACTCCTACTATCATGTATTCAACCTTCTTACCATATTGGTATGTTCATACCATCATGGTACGCTTTCTTACCATATGGTATTAAAGGAGCATACCATATGGTAATGACTGGTTAAAAATTATTTGATTTTTTTTTTGTACTAAAAATATATCGAAGTGGATATCATTTTGAAGAGCATATTTAATCTGATTTATCTGTGCAAAAAAATTAAATTTCGACTTAAATCGAGAGAGAAATCGTCCGTTAAAGATTAAAGGGGAAAAGATAAAAAGACTTTCTAGGAGAGAGAGGCTACTGATGTGATGCTGATGTGGACAAGTTACTCATGGTTACTGACCATAGAGTTACTGACCTGATCCGCTCTCGTCGGAGACGAGAAATGACAAGAGACAGGACAGAGACGCATGTCGGTGAAGCAGAAGCAAAAGTAGTAAATTGACCGACGAAGCAGGGGAGAAGACGATCGCACAGGTGACTTAGCAAATAAATCTTATCTTCTTTCCTCCTCAATCTCTAATCCTCGCTTTTGTCTCATCCACCGATGCTGCCCTCTCCTCCGCTATTTCTTTATGCAAAGGAACCGAGAAAAGGCAGAATGGCGGTAATGAGTACGTTGTACGCAAGTGATCGACAGTGGCAAAAAGGTCAAGATCGAGGTGTTTAGGGTTTTGCATGTCAATTTTCTGGTACTGCAGGTTGTGTTTGTTTTAATGGAGGTTTTAGTTGACGCGGTACTGCCTGTTGTTGTTTGGGATTGAGGAACTGAACGCCGGAGATGAGAGATGAGAACATTTTGTGCTTTGGGTAGTTTCGGTTTGGGCTAGGTGTTTTCCTTTTGGGTCAAGTTTTCTTTTTGTGTTTGGGAAGGGGTAGCCGAATAGGGATAGGACTATGTTATGTATTAGGCTTTCTTGAGTCTATAAATATGTAACTTTGGCATTAGTTCCGTATCAATAAAATAAATCAAAGGTTTATAGACACCAACGTCTTTCTCTCGCTTGTGAGTTACAAGCAAAATCCTTGAATCTTGGGTTACGGTTCATCAATTGGTATCAGAGCCTGGAAGGGATATATATGGACATAGATGTGGAAGCTTTCCATCACAATCACCACCCTTCTCCCCAGGAAGAGTCTGCTGAGGATTTCTAGTGAAGGAATCATGAATGGAAGGTCCTCACCTCATACTCTTCAATCCCCCACACGTCGACGCCGCATAGGATCAGCTGTGGGAAGAACAACCGGAACTCAGTCACCAAAACAACCAGAACCGCACCAGATCGGCCAAAGAAAGCAAAAGGACTGAGGAAGAAAAGGAAGAAGGAGCTAGTTGGGATACCATAGCGGAGTTTGGATAATAGAGTAATAGACAGAGGAGCTGCTTGATCTCGAATCGGCGAGGCCAGGAGAGGAATCGACGAAGCCATAGGAGGAATAGATATATGGGAAACCCTAAATCCAGATCGGAGAAGGGTTGCATTACTAAGATACGCCGACAGGAAAAGCTTGATATCGAATGATGGGATGATTCTACCGGCTACGAGATGGCAGGACAGGTTTGACGAAGGGATATTTCGCTGGCGAAGGGATGGCAGCTGCAGGGTTGGCGAAGGGATGGCAAAGTAGGTCCTCCCTTCAGTCCTCTGTCGAAGCCTCGGAGTCGAAGCAGGGGCGGACCCAGGGGACTTTAGGGGTGTCCCAGGACACCCCTAAAATTTGGAAAAGTGATTATCCAACCCCCGGTGATAATTTACGTATTTACAAAAACATTGTAATTAATAGTCCGGGACACCCCGAAATTTGAAAAAACGATTATCCTACTCTCGTTTATAGTTTGCATATGGGAATATAAGTGGTAGTTTGGGTAATTCAAACCCGACACACTACTATTATTAATAAATATAATTTCCATTAGGCTAAAAAAAAATTGTTGTTCTATTCTAAACACTTTGTAATAGCAAAATCCTATTCTCTGACTTTAATTATTTTCAAAACCTAACAATTAATAAAATTACAAACTACCCTTAATTTGTATTGATTTTATGGTTGTATGATAAGTGTTGAAAGTGTCTTTTCAGCTTTGAGTTGCATCAATAACAAATTTAGAAGTCGAATATGCGTCAGTTGGTCAATGATTGTCTAGGAGAATATACCTAGACAAATTTATTGTGCAGTGTAGACACCAAGTGTATTTTACATTTTGAGAGGCGGCAACTTGTTGAGAGGACACCCCTATGTAAAATTATTGGGTCCGCCAATGAGTCAAAGGGTTGAGAGGCGGCGACTTATTGAGAGGCCAATATAAAACTTCGGGGTTTTATCGGGTTACAGGAAAATCGAAACTAACAATTCACATATCGAGTTGAAACAAAAAAATAAACAAACCCGACAATGCTAGTATCGGTTCGGTTTCAGGTTAAACCGAACCTGATTTGACAGCCCTAATTGTGGCTCCTAGAGTTGCTAGCCGTATTGGATGACTTTTTCTCCTAATCGTTCAACAATAGTCTTCAAGGAGTGAACCTCTAAAGTGATTCAAAATTGTGAATGATCAACTGACCATTGGAGTCAGATGTGGTTGGCAATCCGACACTAGAACTACTGAATTATTTTCAGATGATGCCAGCTTTAGATGTTGGCTTAAAGTTGGGTGTGATCTTTTCCACGGCTATTTGAGCTGAATGCGACAAAATGACTTTCTCTATGTCGTACAGAGTTATATTCATTTGATTGTAAGAAGTTGGATGGAGAGTAATTTGTAGAAGTAATCTCTATTTTTTATTCAAAATTTTCATATTTTTTTATATTATTCAAATTTATTGAAATATTAACAATTAGTCAAATGTTAACTTTCGTTTAACAATTTTATTAGTAGTATTGACTTGGTAACATGATACTAACTTGAAAGAGACACATGAAGGTCAACATTCCAAAATCATAGTATTTTAACTAAGAAAAAAGTTACAAAATTATTAACGATAAAATAAAAATGGCTAATATTTTCATGCATTATGAAAGATTTGGCTAATTAATAGAATTTTAACTGGCCCATTGATTCACTATTATAACCACAGAAAAAATACGTATGTTAACATAAACTAAGACCATCCAACCTCACTCACTAATTTTATTTATGAATTAAAAAAATAAAGGCAAATGACTTTAGTCGGCGTGTGGAATGAATAGATGATCTCACTGCAACTAGGGGTGTACATGGGTCGGGTGGCAGGGGTGGAGCTACCTTATGTCTCGAAGGGCCCCGGCCCCCACCGAGAATTTTGAAAGTTAAAATTACGTATTAACTTTAGTAGTGAAATACTTACATGTGCAGAACCTATAACAAAATGGGCTTGCAATCAACCGGAGAGTGGTGCACAATTCTTCTTTGTTGATGCAGGTTTGAATCACGACGATGGCAATTTGTATTTTTTCCAGTTTCACTTGACGTAAAAAATCAACTTAGTCATTCGACTTCCAGTTTTTGTTAGTTTCTTTTATTTTTCAGTTTTACTTGACATAGAAGGTCAAGCTAAGTTAGTCATCTAACTTTAAATTTTTGTTTCTTTTTTCAGTTTTAATTTACATAAAATTGCAATTCACTTATCTAACTTTCATATTTATATCTCTTTATATCTTTGACTTAGATTACTTAAGGTTTATAAGTTTTCATTTTAAAATTTAATATTTCATTTGAATTTATAACGAGTAAATACTTTTGCTAGACATTATGCATTGATACATTAATTTTTTTGTAATTCACTCGTTTTTATCAAAATAACATGATATATTCTATTATTTTTTATTTTTTGAACTAATCTAATTATCTCAAAAAGTGTATTGAAAGAACGATATAATAATTATTATTAATTAATTTTCTTAGTATTGGTAAATTATTTATGTTTTTTCTTTTTTGCTTCTTCAATAATACAAAAAATATTTTTGCCCCCCCCCCCCCCCGGAACGTCAAATCCTAGCCCTGCCCCTGTCGGGTGGTCAGGGTTTACCCATTTTAATCACCCGACTCATGCACTATGGTTTGGGAAATATTAAATTCAAACTCACCCAAAAAAATCAAAACCCTACGGTGTGTCTCTAATTGAGTTGGCTCAGGTTGCTTATATTTTTAAGTAAAAATCCAACCCAACACAAAATATGTAATTATTCTACACCATAAAAACATTATATAACTAATTAAAATTCCAAACGAATAAACGGAGGTGAAAGGTATTAAAATGCACAATGTTGTTTGAATTTTAATAAAATGTGATTTACTTCAACATATGTCTAGTTTTTTTACGACATTTGTTGAGATAGGCTAAAGAGGTTATAAACGAACGCATCTATAATATGTTATTCTATTAAAATTGTACACAAGAAAAGAATTATGTGAATTATAGCTATATAAAAAAAATTCAAACTTTTAAGCCGAAGAATGCATTAGATTAGCGAGACCATGAGAGAAAAATAAGGCAAAATATCTTAATTTTCTCATAAGTATGACTATATACAACATAAATATTTTTTTATACGAACTCATACCAATAGTTGGAACACGGGTTGGGTCGGGTTTTACGGTTTTTGTAATCCAAAATCCAAACCCAAACCAAAAGAGGCGGGTTGTACAAAAGAAAACACTCAACAAACCCTAAACCTTAGTTTTTGTGATAAATACGAATGAGTTGAGTCAAGTTGGACGAATAGATCGATTTGCGGGTGTGATTGTTCACCCGACAGACTATTTAAGGAATGTTTATTTTACCAACAGCAGCAAATGTAGCGTTGTTGGATCACATCAAAGGGGTTTGGGTCAACAAAGTCGGACAGCTAAAGTCTACAAAACCACCGGAAAAGATGTTTGGGCAAGTTGGGCATGTTGTAGGGAAACTCATTTTTTCTTCTTCTGAATCCATATTATTGGTGATTCCTCTTATCGCGTAGGATCGTTTGGAACTTCAGATTCTAGACATTGTATTCTGAGTGTATATGTATTTTGTAGAATACAATATTTTTTATTTGTTTTAATCACATGATACATATATAGAGAATGTTGATGTATTCTTAATACATACAAATTGAGGTATACTTAATCTTAACTTTTTGGTGAAGTTTAGTATCCATAGTTTATTTCATGTATAATCCATGCATTTTTCTATGTTTTCCAAACAAAACATTCTTTAAATCCACACATTCTTAGTATACACATAATCTTAATGCACACATTCTTGCAATACACCATTTTCGGAATCAAAAGTTCAAAACGACCCGATAGTTTTAGTTTCATGGTATGCTAATACCAAACGATACCACCATGGTATAGACTGGTACTAAATGCTTCACATTTTTTATTCCGAAAAATATCAAAGTGGATATTATTTTGAAAATCATAATCTATCTGATTTATCTGTGAAAATAAAAATTGACATTCCGAAATAAAACAAAACAGATATATCCCACTAAAGTTAAGAAAGAAAAAGGTTAGAAGTCTCCATAAATGATGATGTGGCAGGTTATGCGAATGACCATAACTACATAACAACTGAGTTCCCTTCACCATGGACACTGTTATGGGACAATCCAAGTACCACATCGGTAATACAAGGGAAGGGGCCCTTGTATATTAGAGTCCACCTAGCCCAATTAGTACGAGGCCTTTTGGGGAGGACACCCAAGAGTAAAACCGTGCGGGCATGGCCCAAAGCGGACAATATCGTACTAATTGAGCTCCCCGGTTATGACAAGTGGTATCAGAGCCTGGTTCGGCAGATCCGGGGCGGTGGACGTCAGTTCGGTGGACCCTCGCTCGGTGACCTCGGGGTTTGAGATCTGCATCTGGTTTGGTGGATCCAGGAGATATCCACGTTTGGGCTTGGCGGATGAAAGAGAGTTCCGCATTTGGGAAGCAGATCAAAGAGAGTTCTGCGTCTGGTAAAGTCCTTGTATCAAGAAGCCCATCGATACAAGGCGTCTGGCGGATCAAGATAATTGCTGAGGTGAGGACACGAAGTTCGTGGTCCTTGTCTTGAGGGGAGGATTGTTATGAGACAATCCAAGTACCACATCGGTAATACAAGGGAAGGGACCCTTGTATATTAGAGTCCACCTAGCCCAATTAGTACGAGTCCTTTTGGGGAGGACACCCAATAGTAAAACCGTGCGGACTTGGCCCAAAGCGGACAATATCATACTAATTGAGCTCCCCGGTTATGACAGACACCCATGATGAAACCGTAGAATAGAACGCAGCTCTGATACAATATTTGGAGGCAAACTTATTTCATTGAGTTGGGAATCTGTACAATGCTCGACATATGAAGGATTGCACTTACAAATTACAATCCCGCTGATACTTTGGATAAGCAAAACAAGACAAGCTAACTAAACTTCCTTAACTGTAAAAATAATTAATTACACTAACTGCAGAAAAGAACCAATGAGAAAGGTAACATGTTGCATTAGACAACGGTATAAACTGGTACTAAATGCTAATACCAAACAATACCACCATAATATAGACTGGTACTAAATGCTTTATTTTTTTATTCCGAAAATATCAAAGTAGATATCTAATCTTCAAACAGCGACATAAGAGCTTGGTCTCTGGCACATCATCAATCTTCAGAGAGTACCACACACACAGATGAATAAGTATGCATGCTTCGTCACCCATTTCGATGTTCATGGAAACGGGTAAGGTAATTAATAGAAACCAAAAATATATATGCAATAGAAAGATACTTGTTTCTGGCCACTTGACGACTTGATACTGATCACTTCCCACTTGGCCACTTAGCTTGCTAATTTTTTAGACTTTTCTTTGATATGGTAAATATTTTGTAGGTTTTCTACTGTGCTATATCTTAACTTCGTAAGAGACCTAGCTTAGCTACTGCCTATAAATAGTGCCACCGCAGCGAGTTAGCAGCACACAAATCTGCAAGCAAAGCAAGCTCTCCTCTGCTTCAGCTACCAAACTCAGAAAGACAGAGATGGCGGCGGTGGATGTGGGAGCCGGAGAAGTTCGGAGGAAGAGGGTGGAGTTTCACCCTTCCGTCTGGAACGATTTCTTCGCCCGCCCCGATAATCATTCTCCGGTAACGCTGCTTTGCTCTCCACGCATATAACTTTTTTCCTCCAGTACTGATTTGCTTTTTTTACAATAGATGGAAGAAAAATAAAGCTTGTTCTTAATGAATGAATGCAAATTCAAATAAAAAGACATATTCACTTTCACATATTCCGTGTTTGGTTTGTATATATATATGGTTGAGACTAATCTACGTAAAAATATGTTTATTGAATTTTGCTATTTAAACCATGAAGTAACCAAAGTTTGATGCGTGATACTGTACTTTAATTTCTAAAATGTAAACATAAAGTCGCAAATTCTATAACCCAAACCATAACATTCGTTTAATCTAAAAGTAATAACCGATGATGTTATTGGTTAAAATCTATAAAATTCAAAATATGTTTAATAAATGTGAACGCAAGGGTACGTATATCATACGTCACGCGCTTATGCGCTAGCCTATTTTTATAAAATAAAATAAAAATACTGCTGAACATGTAGGAGAAAACATCAGTATTGGAGTTAGCATGGTCGGTGGAATAGTTAGCTAGATTAATGTTGAGAAAATCAATTATTTGCAGATGAAAAGTGGATGGAGGGAAGACGCTGAGCAATTGAAGGAAGAAGTGAGGGAGATGCTAAGAGGAGTTGCCGCGGCGGCGACGAAGACGAACTTGGAGATTATTGATGCCGTGCAGAGGCTGGGCATTGATTACCATTTCGAATCTGAAATCGAAGCAGCTCTGCTTAAGATCTCCGGCGATGCTGCCGCCGACGATGATACTGATGATGACTTGTACACTGTTTCCCTCCGATTCCGGCTCCTCAGACAGCAGGGTTACCGCATTGATCCCACCCGTGAGTTATAATTACTTGATTAATTTAATCCCTCCCCTCTCTAACCCTAATTTGCAATCGTATTAATGATCGTATTGGACAAGTTAGCGTAACACGAATTATTAAGACGAACTGGCCCTCAGCTTTGATTAGATATGTTTTCTTGTGTTGCTTTTACCACACAGATGTGTTGAGAAAATTCATAGACGAGAATGGGAATTTCAAACAAGATCTCAAAAACGACGCCAGAGGACTGCTGAGCTTGTACGAAGCTGCTTACTACAGAATAAATAATGGGGAACAAATATTGGATGAAGCTCTCGAGTTCGCCAGGACTCACCTTGATCCCATTAGCCAAGTGGACTCACCTTTGGGTACTCAAGTGAAGCACTCCTTAAAGTGGCCCATTTTAAAGGGTTTGCCCATAAGAGAGTCCAAGCATTTCATATCCATCTACCAGCAGGACCAGGCCCACAATGAAGTCATCCTAAAGCTAGGCAAGCTAGACTTCAACTTGGTCCAGAAACTGCACCAACATGAGCTCATGATTCTCACCAAGTAATGAACCACAATTATTTCCCTCTTTGGATTTGATTAGTTTAGTTTATTAAACACAAAAGGTTCATTTTTTCTTTGCCACCCTTGCAACTACCCTGACAGCCAGAAAATTTTGTTTGTATTGATTGAAAACAAAAAAGGTGGTGGATGGATCTGGATACCGAAACTACGCTTCCATTTGCACGAGATCGAGTGATAGAGTGCTACATGTGGCCGTTGGGAGGATTTCTGAAGCCTGATTACACGGTCGGAAGAATCTTTGTCACCAAAATCACTCAACTTGTCTCCGTCCTGGATGACATCTTCGATGTCCACGGTACCATCGACGAGCTCGAATGTGTCGTCAATGTGATCGAAAGGTAATATTCAGCAATTTAACTAAATTTTCTCTGAAGGAAAACGAGGTTGAACGCTAACTATATACTTCCGATTAGGTGGGAGATCACCGATGAGGACGACAAGGTTCCCGATTACTTCGAGTTCTGGTTCAAGACATTGCTTGGCGTGTTTGCTGAAATAGAGGCTCATGTGTCCAATGAAGGGAGGTTGTTCTGTATGGACTATGCCAAAGAAGCGGTAAGTACTCATCAATCAATGATCATTTCCCCATTTGAATACAAAGAGAAGATTAGGTCTAACAATTTCCAAAACCGGCGAGTAAACAGGTGAAACATATAGTGAGAGCGTTCATAAAGGAAGCAAGGTGGTACGATGCAGGCTATGTGGCAACAATGGAGGAAAATCTACCAAATGGTTATACCAGCATCGGCTATCCCCTTGCCATTACCGTTATCTACTGTGGGATGGGAGAAGTTGCCTCCAAAGAGGTCTTCGAGTGGCTGTTCAGCCAGCCCAAGATCCTCGTCGCCGGTTCTACCATTGCTCGGCTCATGGATGACATTGTCTCCCACGAGGTATGGTATTACTTATGCTTTCATGGTTTAGCTAACTATGACAGTATCATGATCATTTTTTCTATGGCCATGGCAGTTTGAGCAAGAGAGAGGACATGTGGCTTCGTCCGTCGAGTGTTACATAAAACAGTATGGTGTGTCCAAGGAAAAGGCACATTCGGAGCTGAACAAGCTGGTGGAGAAACTGTGGAGAGACATGAACGAAGAACTGTTGCGGCCTCTGCTGGCTCCGATGCCTGCTCTGAAGACAATACTCAACAAGGTGCGAGTCATGGACTTGTTGTACAAGGACGAGGACACTTACACGGATTCCAAGACTGTCATGAAAGAGTTACTCACTTACATCTTAGTGGATCCCGTGCCTCTGTGAAGTAATTGTGTTTGTGTTTGCTAGCAATCTTCTAGGTTGGTGTGTCCGTCGAATCGGTCGTGCCTCTGAAATAATTGTGTGTTTGTGTTTGCTAGAAATGTTCTGGGTGGGTGTGTCAGTCGAATCGATTGTGATTTCTAGTTGAGTTTTGTTAAACTATAATAAGCTAGAGGACGCCCAACTATACGGTGTAGTTGGTAGAGTCTAGGCATGTGTGACAATTTGATTGTTTTCTTATGTTGTGGTCGTTGGTGAAATATATATACACCATTGCTAAGTAAGAGGTTGAAAAAACTCTCTCTTTCTAGAACATACTTATTTCTTCATTTCTAAATTCTACAAATATCTACTTAAGCATTTGAGTATTGACAACCTTGAAAATCTCAAGTATCTTCTCTTACCTAATTAAAGTCGATTCATCAAATAACCACATTGGGTTAGTTCAACCTAATAATATGGTTTCCACTTATGCACTTACCTAAATCGAAACCACTTACCAACTCTCTTCTCTTATCCAATTCTCGCCATCTGACAAATAAACCAAATTATTATTGCCACTAATTTGACGATCTTACTAGTCTAGTTGCTAATCTGGTTCAGGCTTATAACAAGGCCGATTCGTCATTTTTCTCTATATTGTTTTGGTATCCGCCGTATGTTTGCTCGAGGCTTTATTCAACAATATCATTTCGAAAGGTGTTGTCGTATCAATAGAAGCGGCAATTTTGTATCCATCTATCAATTCAATCCTATCCATCCTCTACAATATTCAATTAATCAAATCCATTTAATCCAATTCCAATTAGATTTGTGAATTCAAAAATATTTGATAAATTTTAATTTAGTACACGTACTTTTTATTTTACATTTTGATATCTAAATTTTAAATATAAATTATCATTAAAATATATTTTGATACCTAAAATTTTATTATTATATAACATTTTAATACCTTCTGATAAAATTTATTTGATACATGAATTCAATCTAGGGCTGCCAATGAGCCGAGCCAGTGTCGAGTTTTACCCCAGCTTGAGCTCGGCTCGTTTATCAATGAGTCGAGCTCGAGCTCAGCTTGTTTATCAATGAGTCGAGTCGAGCTCGAGCTCGAGCTAGCTTGTTTACTAAAATCTTGACTTTATTTGGTACTTCATTTTGTATATCAAAATACATATGATTTATTTTGTTAGCTAATCTCATATTATAATTTATTGGTATCATATATCATTTAGTTAATAAATTTTAACTACTCCGAATCATGTTATTTCATAGTATCGAAACAATCTATGATACAGAATTTCTTTTTAAAGTAGAAAATAAGATACATTTGCTCACATACTCAACGTGTTAAACTTTGTATTTGGTGAGATATATAATTTAACAACCATATGAATTAAAATCACAAGATATAGATTGATTAATCCATAAGTCGGTAATCGAATTGGCTCTCTAGCCACATGTTGAGACATATCATGAGCTTTAAACGAGCAAACTCATGAGTTTAGCTTAACAAGCCACCGAGTCGAGCTAGCTCGCGAGCTTCACGAGCTAAACAAAGCTTAGCTCATGCTCGGCTCTTTAATAAACGAGTCGAGTTTCGAACGAGCTTTTCTCGAGTCGAACGTCGAGCCGCTCGCGAGTAGTTCGACTCATTCGCAGCCCTAATTCAATCCATCTACCACTCAATTACTTAGGTGGGACGAGAGTACCACTTAGGATTGGTGATGTGGTGCACCCACCCAATCCCTTCATGCCATGTGTCCTGTAATTATTATACTTCCAAAATTGAAACTAAAAAACTCTCTCCTCTTTCTGCGTTGCGGTGCAGCTTTGCAGAGACTTCCTATTTAGTTTGATTAAGATTAATGAAATAAACTCGCACCTTTAATAAATCCTACGAAATAAAAATTTGACTAAAGTTGAAAAGGGTCATCGCCGTCGAGTATTCGCCACCGATCCCGGTCTACGAAATAAACTCGTACCTCCTCCAAGAAGCCACGCTCCAGGGTGGCGATCAGTAGCAGCAGCTTTATCAGGAGGTGAGCTCGCCATCCCCCGTATCGCAATTCCGTGCTCTCCTCGATCCCACCACCGCTGACAGCTACTCCTACAACAAAGTCGTCGGTCGTCACCAACAGCACGGGAATGGGTTAGGGTGATTACTTGTTTCTTAGTAATTACGGTGGCAACCTCTTTATAATTTATATACCATTTGATTAATTATTTTCCCTTCTTTTTTAATCTTACGGTCAAGATTCTTTTAGGTTAATTTTGAAAATTAAAAAGTGACCACACCTGATTATTCTATATAATCTACCCAAACCCTAGTTCTATCCTCCCTCCAGCCAAATCCGTCGCAGCCGCCTCCACATACCACTCCCATCGCACCACCGGCAGCAGCCCCGGCCCACTGCAGCGGCCTCCCTCCTTCTCCATCCAGATTTATTCCTCCGCAGATCCTCCCATTTCCCAGATTGCAGAGTTCGCAATATTTTGCAATCATTCCATTCCCCAAACCCGTAAACCTCTTTCTCTCCTTCTTCCTAGTTTCCACACTACAATCGAGAAACTGTTCACAAGTATAAAGTCGAGAATGGAGGTGGTCATACCTTCATCACCAGGTCACTGCCTTTCCTCAGCGTGTCGGCTTCCCTGCGGCGGTTTGGCGACCTCACCCTCAGCGCGCCGACCAGCCCCGGGACATGGAGGAGAGCGACGACGGTGACGTGCCTTTCCACTGGGAAGAGAAACCAAGGACGCCCTCCCTCTCTCTCTCTCTCTCTCTCTCTCTCTCTCTCTCTCTCTCTCTCTCTACCCGGCAGCGGGAGGAGCTGATGGACAAGCGATCTGTGTTCCGACCCTCTCGCCTCAATGGTATTGTTTTTGTCGCATTGGTATTGATTTTGTTGCATTGGTATACTTTTGTCCCATTGGTATTGATTATCATGTAATGGTATTAATTTGCATGTATTGGTATTGATTAAATCTGCAATGTAATTGGTTTTTTGTGAAATGGTAGAGATTTATATTGGTAGTTTTCGTGCAATAGTACATATTTATTTTTGCAATGGTATTGATGTTTTCAAAGTGGTAGTGGTTGTCTAATAGATTGATAGTGATTTCATGTTTTTTTTCTTTTGCAGAAAGATTGAGAAAAATAAGGAAATGAGATTTGGCTGGAAATTATGAAAGTGAGAGAAAGAGAGAGAACTGTAATTAATAGATTTTAGTAACTACATAAAATGTAATTTATTAAAAAAAATTAATTAATGCAATGTATTTTTCATACCCAATTTACCCTTAGTAACCATGGTAATTACTACAAATCACCGTAACCTGTCCCCAATAGCACGTGTTCTGTTTACCCATTGGTACCACCAATACTCTCTGTAATATGTGTTTGAAGGTGGGATCGATGGAAATGGTAAGAAGGGGTTTTTTTGGGAGTTGGATATCCATCTTCCTTTTCTTGGTTCTATCGAAAGGGAAAGTTTATTCCTACAATTAAATAATCTATTAAAATGGAAAGAGAAAAGGTACACCACTCTCGAGCAGCAACACTAGGGGTGTTCAAACGGTGTGGTTACCATGGTAACCGTTTTAACCAGTACTATTTGGATAATTTGGTTTGGTTAATTTGGATAATTTGTTTTGTTTGGTTGAAGTTCTTAGCTTGTTTGGTTTAGGTGGTTTGGTTTGGTTTGGTTGAAGTTCTTAGCTTGTTTGGTTTAGGTGGTTTGGTTTGGTTTCAAACACTTCTAACCAGCCAAACCAAATTAACTAGATAAATAATTAGTTATATATCTAATATATACACATACTTAATACTTTGAATAACCACTCAAGAGGTTAAACGTTCATCCCTTTTAGACTCATAAAATATAAAGCGTGATATTGTTCCTATAATGTATATTTGTATATGTAGAGTGTAGACCACAACATATGAACGCCTAATTTAGATAAATCTCATACATTATGTTGGATGAAAACTTGAAAGCAAGGTCCTTTTCAGCCTAGGAAAATTGCTAAAAGCCTAAGTCAATTCAAACAAACACAACAATTCATTAACCCATACCATTGTGGTAATTTTTGTTAGGTGAATACTTCTATACTAACCGTAAGATAATTGTCTTAGTTGCATGTATTTATGTTAACGGTCAACTATAACTATGTGTTGATTGTTATGTTTTATTCATTATATAAATTATGAATTGATAAATTAACCGAAAATTTTCTCACTTAATGATAATGTGATTTTATATTGGTTAATCTGGTTAACCAATTAACCAAACCGATTAAACTTTAGTTTGGTTAATTTGGTTGTTGTATTAGTTTGGACGGTTTGGTTATGATATTGTATTCCATGATTAATGAAATTTAACCTTATTTAATTTGGTAATAACCATGGTAACCATTTGAACACTCCTAAGCAACACGCAAAAGTAGAGAATTTTAAATTTTAATTTTGGAAGTCTAATAATCAAAGGACACGTGGCATGATGGGATTGGGTGGGTGCACCACATCACCAATCCTACTCCCGTCCCACCTAAGTTTTTCTCCCTAATTTGGTACTGAGTTAATAGTGAAGAAACTGGAATGCTGTGTGGATAACTCCGAGTTGAAATTTTATCAAACTAGGTTTGGTTGGAAAATGGAGAAAGAAAAACGCCTCACCATTCACCAACTAACGGAGAAAATCGCACCTTCAACATAAGTCACTGAGCAACACAAATTTGACCGACAGGTAGGATCGCCGGCTGAAGCCAACCAATCGCGTGCCCTCTAAAAATTCCCTTCCCTCCGCCGTCTCTTGGAGATCCAACATCGCCGCCATCCGTTCCCACCTCCTACTTCTGCTGCTGAGCCCTCGATTTCGGTTGATGCTCAAAATTCTCTTAACTGCCATCATAAAGTCGTCGACTTGCGTAATTCCGCCGTCGATCCGGCAAATTTAACCGGAACCCAGCTGAGTAAACTCGGGCAGCCGCATGGAGGCGAGCCCACCAACCTCGGCGGCCGCCGGAGGAGGAGGGCCTGCCCCTTTCCTGATGAAGACGTACGACATGGTGGATGACTCTTCCACCGACGACATCGTCTCGTGGAGCCCGGCCAACAACAGCTTCGTGGTCTGGGATCCTCCAGAATTCGCGCGGCGCCTCCTTCCTACCTACTTCAAGCACAACAATTTCTCCAGCTTCATCCGCCAATTGAACACTTACGTAAGCCACCCTGCTCCATTTTTGCTCTTCCTTTTTTCTCTGTCTCGTTTTCCCCCAATTATAGTTTCGAATTGGTGGTTGAATCTTTCAGTGTGTGGGGTTCCAGAATGGTTTCAATTGGGGTTTGTTTGTGTTGTTTTGATGTTCCATGTAATTCGAATTGATTGTTCATTAACAACAGTGTTCTGTAATGGGATTGGTTTTCTGGATTCTGAATGCCCCAGAAGAAGCTAAATTGGGATTTTTGTGACAGGGATTCAGGAAGATTGATCCTGAGAAATGGGAGTTTGCCAATGAAGAGTTTATCAAAGATCAGAAGCATCTGCTGAAAAATATCCACAGACGGAAGCCAATCCACAGCCACAGTCATCCTCAAGGTGGTTCTTTGGATCCCGAAAGAGCAGCATTTGATGAAGAGATCGAGAGGCTCTCCCACGAGAAGGCTCAGCTTCAGGCTAGTCTTGTAGGGTATGAGAAGCAGAGGTCAACTGAAAAAGCTCAGTTGGAAGATCTCACGCAGCGAGTGGGTACCCTTTCGCAGAGGCAAGACAGTTTGTTGTCCTTCTTAGAGAAAGCTGTTCAGAATCCTTCCTTCGTTAGGATTCTCACCGAGAAGATTGAAGCGATGGATGTATCTGCTTACAGCAAGAAGAGACGCTTACCTGAAGCTGTTCAATCAAGGCCAGCTGTTGACAGTGCGTTTGATTCTAGTTCTAAACCAGAATATGGAAATGCCATCAATCACCAAGATTTCTCCAATAAGTTGAGGTTAGAGTTATCTCCTGCTGTCTCAGATATTAATTTCATCTCTCACAGCACTCAGAGCTCAAATGAAGAGGGGGCTAGTGCACAAGGAAAATTTAACGAACTAGAGCCGCCCAAAGATGGACCATTGAGGACACCTGGTTTGCTATTTTCGGCACCAGAAACCTTAGACCTTTCAGATACCGGGACTTCGTGTATGTTTGTGGTTGATTCAGCTTTCCCTAGGAAAGTTCCACCGAGTTTGAGTAGTTATGATGAAGCTGATGGTAATATATCATGCCACTTGAATCTCTCTCTGGCATCCTGTTCTTTACAAGTAGAGAGTAACCATTCATCTAAAACGGCTCAAGTAGGTCATCTGGAAGTCAGAACATCTCCAGAGTTGAGGTTTAATAGTGTCAAGGATAAAGAACCGGACATGAGGTCTTTACCAAGAGATCGAAGTATGAGTATTGATGAGAAACCAAACATCGCATCTGCTGCTCCAGGTCGTGTGAATGATGTGTTCTGGGAACAGTTCTTGACTGAAAGACCAGGTTCTTCTGACAATGAGGAGGCTAGCTCTCATTATAGGGCTAACCCGTATGATGAGCAGCAGGAAGACCGAAGGTCAGGACATGGATTGTCAACAAACAACAGGAGCATGGGGCAGCTGTCTCTTTGAACACTTGCTGTAGAGGCTGTTTCAGGTCTGTAGACTTGTCTCCTTGTGTGCAACCATGATTAAGTTCTGAAATCCGTGATTGGAGATAGGAACATTATGAGTTAACATGAGGCTCGGTTTCTTTCATCTGAATCTTTTCAAGTGCCTCTCATGCTATTTAACACTGGGAAAACGGTGGTGTTGCTGTTATCCTTGGAATGGTTAACGTGAGACATCATATCCTAATGGATCAGGAGTATTAGTCAGTCAGCCTTTCTGGTTTTCCTTGCTTCATTAGGATTTATCAGTGTTGAAACGTGCTGCTCAGCCTCCTGCATCCTTGAGATTTTCATCAGTACGTCCTCTTCCTCTTTGACTGTGCTCTACAGAGAGAGTTAATACGAGAAGTCAATGTCCCATTGCTGCTGAATAACAGATATCCTCGAAGAAGTCCCTCTCACTTGCACATTCCCTTAAACTCGACATGAATTTATCTTGTTTAATATGCTTGCTACTGGAAATTGTGGCATCCCCAGTCTGCAGAGTCTGCAAGTTGATTATTGTACTGTACAAGTCTCTGCTGCTGGTCTTGATCTGTAGTATTCTGTTGTCCAGTTTGAGTTGCAAGAGAGTGGGTAGAAGATCTAACCATTGATGTTGTATGTACTAAAGGAATTGCTCGATGTATCCGAGTAAATTTTCAACGGTCTGTCTTGGAATAATGGCATTAACATTATAAAGTTGATCTTTTGCATATTTGTTTCCTTCCTTTTTAGATTACGATTGAAAGAGTACTGCTCCAGTGTTGACTTCACTGACTTTCACCATTTAACAGATCCTTTGTGGCCCCAAGAGGAAGCCAATTATCAGCTCCAATGTTGGCTTCACTACGGCTTCCAAGTTGGTACATATTTTTTATAGAAATACCTGTATTATTTCATTGATGTGTAGAAATAATACAGGAGTCGGCTAAAAGCTGTGAAACTAAAAATAGGCGAATACTATGGTGCCGCTATAAAAAGTGCGGCACTGGTGACGCAAGTTTTTATTGGTCCGCGGGATGGGTTGAATAAATTAAAGCTCAAACTCGTTGATCCACTAGATGTGGCCCGAACCCTGACTTGACCAAACAGATTCCTCTCTTTCCATCTTCTCCGTTTATCACAGTAGTTTTCTTTTTCAATTAAATTCTTCCACTTTAATTTAGCTGTTAGTTAGTTTTTTTTTTTTTTTTTTTTTTTTTTGCGAGAAACAGAAACACGAAGCAAAAGAAAGATGTTCGTCACCTCCCTCTCCGGCGGACTCTCAAGAAGGACCTTTGGCGACTCCGTCGTCAATAAGGAAACGAATTTGCGTCGTCACCGTCCCTCTATCTCCGTCGAGCAACACCGCCGCCGCAGGACAGGACGACTACAAATGCACGAAGAAGAGGGACGTCGCACTCCTCTGCGTCGTCTCCCTCCCCCTGCATCATCCTTTTTCAATCGTTGAATCCAAGTTCATGGGCGTAGTAAGCCTATATGTTTGACTTCATATGCAGAAGGTTGAGAGAGCTATCTTTAATGTACTTTTGTTTATGGTGGTAATCTCATTCCTGCATTGATTTCGCAGGAGTCCATGTTGTCATCCATGAAATAATCTTGACTTGGATGCTTCTGGCTGAATGAGAATCCAGTTAATTGTTACCCTGATATTCATGTTTATGATTTTATCCACCCCCGAGTCACGACCTTGTGTGTATCTGTTTCAATTCGAGTTTAGCATGCAGGGACTCATACGTTCTTAATTAACACAAACCCATTGAGAGCAGATGACATACAATTTGCCTACCAAACGTTTCCTTCTCGCATTGTTTCTGGTATGGTGTTAGAGTTGATGCTGCAATTTCCTCTAGTCCCCACAATTTCGTCATCACATCTGCAATGACTTCATCAAAGGTCCAGATGGGCGGAGCTAGGATGTAACGATCGGGGGGGCCGAAGTTTTCGTAAAACGTTATCGCAAAACACTTAAAAAATAGTTTTGTTTTATTATAACCACAACAATAAATACATTAAGTTCGATATAAATAAAAATTATATAAAATATAATAATATATTTTAATATTATCATTGTATCGCGCGTTCTGTTTTCATAACTAAAAATAGAATATATATCAATATTAGCATAAGAAAACAATTACTGTTTATATAGTCTAATAATTACAATTGAAGAACTTAATTGATAAATTTGAAATTAAGGAATTTAAATCATGAATGAAGTTATTAAAGGGGAATAAAATTACAAATACTTCTCATGTATCTCGGACTGTCCTTAAAATTGAAGAATTTAATTGAAATTATTTTATTAAAGTTTATCATTAAATATAATTATAAAAGTTAATATGGCTAAATCTATTTATTGAAGTGCTTAATTAATTGATTTCAATTGATGGATTCTAACGAAGAAACAAAATTCTTAAAAGAAAAGGAGGGTGAACAGAAATAAAGAAAAAAAGTACAAGCTTGCTTCTCACGACCATCGAACCAGGGAACAGAAGCTAATTTCGGAAAATAGTCCCCTCAGTTTCCATTAGACTAAACCAAGCTCATTGTGATGCTATTGCACGTCAAGATATTTTATCGTAACCTTTAGTTTATAGGTATAATACCGAACATTTTATACGTAACTTTCAAGATTCTCGGGGGGGCCGGGGCCTCCCCGAGGGCTGCTGTAGCTCCGCCCTCCAGATTAAGGTCGTAATATACCATTATAGCCCAGTAATGTAATTGTGACTTTAGAAAGCTTGGCAGTGTAACAAACAAATTTTAAAGCTGTAACTAAAATTTATAAAAATAAATAAGTATACAACATTGGACAAGTACGACCATCATAGAACTATGGTCATCATGTGTTTGGAATTTCATGACATCTGTTCCAATGTTTTCATTTCCAGGATCCCAGGGAAAATCGTAGGGATCACAGTTCCCACATTTGAAGCCCTAACTCAGTTTAGAACTGCTACAATTACAGCTAAGAATACTGGTAAAGTGTAAGCATCATACAACGGCAGAATCCACCCTGCCCTGCATTTATTTTATCATGCAACTCATCACACTACAAATGACAACTGTTATTTATGCATTGCTTCGATGAAATAGCTATTTGGGTGTATATAGTTCTCTTGAGTGTTCATTTCCATTATGAATGGGCTGAATTATTGTGGCTATTGAAATTAGCTAGTGTTTCTTTCTTTTGGTAACTGCAGAAAGCCATGTTATGGGTATAAGCTTAAGGAGATGACATGTAGTGCATAGAGTACTTAAAAGAGTGGGAAGATAGATGTGAAGCCGCTAATAACTCGCAGCTTGGGCTTTCCACAGGAAGTTGAAGATGCATTTCAGACCAGTGCTCATGGTGGCTCTGACATTAAATTCATGTTTAACTTCTGATCTTATAAAAGGATTGAACCTTCAGGCAGAAGGCTTACATATAATTATGCAGATCCTATTTGGATTGTACAAACTGGAAATAAAAGGTTCATATATTTAAAAATAAAGTATACATGAGACCAATTCCCTGCATGTCGAAAACCCTTTATGCCCATTTTTCCTACTTAGATATTAAATCTACCATTCTTCAGCTTATTGATACAAATTGAGCTCAACCATAATGGATTTCATCTGCTAAGAACAGCATTTGAGGAAAGATGGAAATTTCTAACACTTCACTCTCTTCGACTAATACAATTCCAGTAAGTTGGAGTTTGATGTTTATCTATTATTAAGATTACAAGCAATAAACATGTCATTCCAAAAGTTGTTCCATTACTACTTCCCATCTCTCGAGATTACATTATAGCCATCAATAACAAAATCATTTTGAGACAATCCTAATCACTTTTTCATCATCTATCAGTAATTAGATACAAATATAAGCATATCTTCACGAAGAAAAAGGAACTTGGCCAAACAATAAAGTGTCATCACCATAAAACCATGCCACAAAACCGTTTTCAATACAGCTCTGACAAAAAAAAGGGCAGAGAGACAATAACAGGAACAGAACATCAAGTCCCCTGCTGCGATAAAACCATAAATAAGAAAGAACACGGAACAAGCGAGCCTCCCATTACAAAATCCATGACATACAAATCCAGAAGCCACATGGAATTAAAACGACTCCAAAAAATGTCCTACATCCACAAATACACAGTCCTCCAGTTACTTGTATGCATTTTGATTAGGTGGGTAAAGTCACTTCCTACGTGTCCGGGAACTTGGTTTCGATGATTGAAAAAGGGACGACACAGATGGAATGCGACCCTGCTCTTCGTGGACTTCATGTCGTCTGGTACTATGGGGGCGGCTCTGCTCGACGGAGACAGAGTGACGGTGAAGATGCCGGATTCGTTGCCATTGTTTTACGCAATAAATGATTTCTGTGGAGTCGACCGTCGGAGAAGGTGATCGTGGAACTGCCTTTTGGTTCCTTCCGTCATCGACCTCTGTTTTTCTATATTCGGAATCTTCCGAAAATACCAAATTTAATTTTTAATTAATAAAAGACATAACAGTTTGGCAAATAAAAAAACAGAACTGTTTGGGTTGGACGGAGAATGGTTCTCCGTTAGTGTGAGATAGGCGGTTTATTTCAGTAATCAGTATTCATGGACTTTGGCCTTGGTTCAATCAAATTCAACCATGCCACATCAGCTCCACATGATCCAATCATATTTTGCGTCACCAGTATCGCAGTTTTTATTGCGGCACCGTAGTAGTATTGGCCCTTAAAATATAGGTGGCCTATAAGTCCAAACTTCAGTTTCTTCCCAATTACATTGGGTATGGACCATGAGATGGGCAGCCCGAAACCTGGTATATTTGCTTGCGCTTGTTTCTGTTCAATATTTGTGTTGGGCTAAGCATTCTATTTTGTGTGGACTTGCAATGATTAATTCGGCCCAGTCCATTCACACAAATCGCTTCCACGAACAGAACGTTTGAAATTGAAACTAGTTTGTTAATGGTTTTCTTCTTTTATCAAATCCAAAGATTGTGAAACAGGGATGAATAAGAAAATGGATCAAATTCAATTCAATTCAATTCTGTGTGTTTATATGGTGATTCATCACCGTAAGTAGGGGTGGAAGTTTGGGTTGCGGGTTGTGGATAATCGTCAAATCGCACCAACTCAATACCCATTGTAGGTAGTGGGTTTGGTGTGAGCAGTAAAATAATGATTTTTGTTGTTAGTTGTTACCTACAGGCTACAACCCACTGCGGTTAACCCACAAAATCCACAATAACCACTCTATTTATATTTATTTATTGAATTAACTTTATAATATAATAGTATGTGAAAAGTGAGAAGCTAAAAATTAAAGTAGCCACCAAAATCAAACACGCACCTAATTAGTTTTATCTGAGAATTTTTTAGTTTATAAAACACTATAATCGAGAGAGTGAAGAATAATCGATTCATTAAAAGTGGACACCTTTAGTAACTTTTATCTGTATCTTTTTCTTTTTGTGTGAAAAAAATACAAGATCATATTTAATTTTCATAGTCCAGCCCTAGTCGGTGAAATATGAAATCATTGCTCCTTGACACAAAAGTTAAATATCAAACTTGAAAAGAAAAAATCTCTACGTTGAGTAAGATCGATATACAAAATTGTATCTCCATGAACAACACAATTGTATATCATTATAGTCTAGCTAAAAACAACAAATACGTTAGTGGCAGCCTCAAATCCATGCTTGCAAAGATGAAACTTTTGCGAGTAACCACACCCAACTCGCAGTGGGTAGTGGTTATCCATTAACCACTGTGGTTTTGTGGGTAGCATAATTGTAAGTTTCGATGGAATCTGGTGCATTAGTGCGGGTACGATCGCACCCAGCATAATTGTAAGTTTGTGGGTGTGGGTACTCGCAAATTGTGGGACGGACAACCACACCCACCCCAATTTCTACCCCTACGTATAGGTGCTCCATTCTTTTGGGTTAATTGCAAGTTTGGTCATTGGGTTTACTAAAAAGTGTCATGTTTAGTCACTAGAAATATTTAATGTCAATGATGGTCACTCAGATTAGTAAAACAATCCATATTTGGTCACTCTCCGTTAGTATCTGTCCAACTCCGTTAATGGACTCCGTTATGTGCCGACATGGCACACAGAATTGCCTAATCAGCCTAATTTAACCCAGAAATAGTGAAACTCAACCCGACACATCATCACTACTCACTATGTCATCTTACGCAACCCTTGAACCCAACCCGACCCGTACCCAATTTTTTACCGAACTTGACCGCTTCTTGCTCCCCTTTGTCTACAATCTTCATCCTCACCAGTCACCACCAGAGACTACAATGCTTCGCCGTCCAACCCTTTTCGCTCTTTTGGTTGTTGGTGACTAAGAAGAGCCTTCCAATACGAGGATCTCTTCCTGCACTCCGAGCATAGCTTGGTCGTCGCTGATGGGTTCGCCTTACCCTCACCACCACTGCCCCCTTGTTCTTCCTTACACTCCCACTCGCCCCAGCCTCCGCCGTATTATGGGTCGGAAACAAAGATGAAGAAGAAGCAGCAGCAAGAAGAGGAATAAGAGGGGAACCAAATTGATTCGCATGAATTGGCGGGGAAATCAGAGTGGGATCGACTGTTCGAG